TCGACGAATCCTCTGCTTGGTCGCAGAAGCAATCCTTGAAGGAGCCTCCATCGCTGCTTGAAGGTGCTTCTAGGGCTGCATGTCTCAAATGGGCTGTCTCATTGCGTGGTAAACGAAAAGGAGTGGCGCGGGGACTTTGCAGGCCGTCTGGTGACGTTCTCCTTGGACATCAGAGTCGATCGCCGCGGCGCGGGGAGAGATTGTATTGTTCGTGTGGTTGGCCGGAGTGCTGAGGGGAGATCCACGATTATAGGAATTCCCGAGGATTACATTGGAAATCGGGAGTGATCGAGGGTTTTTAGGTTATTAAAGCCGTTGTGTTGTCAATTACTTTGTCATTACAGTCATTTTGTTGGGACTTGAATTGGACCAGGGTTATGATCTCTGCCGGGTCGGGTTTGGGTCGGCTACCGATGTATTACATTCTGGTATCCTCAAGTATACGGTGTAATAGAAGTCCATATTAGACTAATTTTAATGCTAATTTAGAATTAGTTATAGTCTAATTTAGCTCTAGAAATATATAACTCATTGCTTTCTAGATGCTTGTCCTTTTAAATCATAATAAATATTTTGATATTAGTCCCTCAAATCCTTATAATTTGATATTAGTCTCCCATATTACTTATTATGAAGATATTAAATTTTCTAGTTAGTTATATTGTTAAAATGAATGAGAAATATACCGGTTTCTTCAACTTTTTTTCTTGAATGAAAAACTATACCCCTCCTCCTCAGGCCTCTTTTCCTTTCTCTTAGTCCTCAACCACCACCATAACCTCCTCTCTATTCTCTCCTTCCTTCACTGAGCCCGCTCTAATATACACAATTCCAGGAAGTGACAATAAAGAAATTAGTGGTAATGATGGAGAATTTAGAGGATGTGGCAGTGAGTGATGAGGAGGAGGTGGTGAGTGAGGAAGTAAAGGTGGTGGTGGTGAAGGAGATGTAGATGGGGGTGATAATACTGGAAGTGGTAGAGATAATGGAAGTGGAGATCAAGGTGGTGGAGAAGGAGGAGGCGGAGAGAATACTGACGTAGGTGGATATGTCTGTGGTAGGGATGATGGAGGTGGAGTTGAGAATATAGATAAAGGATTAGACTATGATGGAGGAGATGGATGAGGAGGTGAGAGAAATAGAGAGGGAGGGAGGGATAATAAGATAATTTTAGATCCATGGTTAATGTTAACCAACCATGGTTTAGGGTTTTGAGTGGTGAGGCTAAAATATTGGGAACTAACCTTGTATATCGGTCTAGAAGGCACCACAAGAACCAATAACAAAGAGGGAAGAGAAATAAGGTAAAATGGCAACAATAGATGGTCCCGCTAGATTCCTTGTAAGTATACCAGCGAATTAGACCAATTGGTTTGACTTGTAACATGCAGTTTCAAGATGTTTTTAGATTTAACCTATTTTGGAATTCGATTTGAGTTTGGACTCATATTGGATGCATTTGAATCTAGGGGATTATAAAAGAGATGTTCCATCTCAGGGTTAAAAAGATCTAAGCCAAGGAGAAACTATTCACTAGTAGAAAACTGAGTATTGGTGACGGGGTATTAGTGACGGATTTGAAATCCGTCGCCAATACAAACATTAGCGACGGAACATTGGCGACGGGGTTGTTCCCGTCGCCAATGTTTGTATTGGCGACGGATTCGATCCGTCACCAATAAGTATTGGCGACGGATTTGGTCCGTCGCCAATGTTCCGTCGCCAATACTTATTGGCGACAGATTCGATCCGTCACCATTACTTATTGGTGACAGATTCGATCCGTTGCCAATAAGTATTGACGACGGATTTGATTCGTCACCAATGTTCCGTCGCCAATACTTATTGGCGACAGATTCAATTCGTCGCTAATACTTATTAGCGACAGATTAGATTCGTCGCTAATACTTATTGGCGACATATTAGATCCGTCGCTAATGTTCCGTCGCTAATACTTATTGGCGACAGATTTGATCCGTTGCTAATACTTATTGGTGATAGATTTGATCTGTCGCCAATAAGTATTGGTGACGGATTTGATCCGTCACCAATGTTCCGTCGCTAATACTTATCGGCGACAGATTCAATCCGTCGCCAGGATTCGTTTCATCACCAATAAGTATTGGCGACGAATTCGATCTGTCACCCAGACTTATTGGCGACGGATTCGAATACGTCGCCAATACTTATTGGCGACGAAACGAATCCGCCGCTAATAAGTATTGGTGACGGATCGAATCTGTCGCCGATAAGTATTGACGACGGAACATTGGTGGCAGATTCGAATAGCTAGATGAATAATAACTAAAAAGTTTATTGATTATTTGGTTCACTTCCACCCCTACCTCTAGGCCCATGAAGCACATCTACTATTATTGTTTAAGATGCATATATTGCTATTGTCTGAGAAAAGTTATTCCTATGTATTCTACCCCGATACTAATGACCATTTAAAATAAATCATTGAGCAAAAAATGTTATTGAGCAAAAAATGTTGAGTAAGGTATGTGACGATATGTTGTTTCAAACTAATTATAAACTTCATATTGATAAATATGTACTGTGTCATGCACACATGCAAAAAATCAATGTCCTTGTCCAAATAAATAACACGAAAAGATTGGTCCCCCTATCAATATGCATGGGTGAGTATAAAACATACAAACACATCTACTATTATTGATTATTTGGTCCCTGCTATTCATTTATTGTTAAATGAGACAGTGAATAGAAAATGATCGAATAGCTAGATGAATAATAACTAAACTGTTTATTGATTATTTGGTTCACTTCCACTCCTACCTCAGGCTCATGAAACACATCTACTATTATTGTTTAAGACACATATATTGCTATTGTCTGAGAAAATGTACTCATCACTTCGATTTTTACAACGTAATAGAGAGACGTGTGGAAAAAATAACAAACAACCTAATTTACTTGTTCTTTATACGTTTTTAAAATCTTTATGACTCAAACTACAAGTAACAAATGCTAGAATAATTAACAATATTGTTTGTTATACATAAATTTATGATGGATTGTTATACGTAAGTGATAAATATCAATATGGTTTAGATTAAAAATAAGTGCGCATTTGATGGCAAATGTAATCATTAGATTGTTTTACATAAGATTGCAGTTGATGGCAGATATAAAACATTTTAATTCGAATTAGCAATAACATTGAAGCCACAAGTAACTTATTTTATCATGAATAATGGAAAAAACATTGAGTTAGTATGCGACCATATATTATTTCAAACTAATTGTAAACTTCTTATTAATAAATATGTAAAAATATGTTTTTAGGCCTAAAAATTTGGCGGGAGAATTCCCCCCTAAATTTTTCACTCAAAACAAATTCCCTGACCTCCCTCCCCTTCTCCTCTGTCGCCTTTCCATTCCTCACCAAAACCTCCACCATCTCCGTTAGCGTCACCAGGCTGTGCAGCCTTATCGATCCCCTCCCCCGCCAGATTCTCCCTCCCTCCCTGCTTCCTGTCGATCACCACCACCGCGTCGCTCACCTCTAGCCCCAGCCCCCTCAGCGGCGTCGTCGTCTCAAGCACCGACGCCCCGCTCGTCACCAGATCCTCGACGACCAAGCAGACCTTCCCCCTCTCAGAAGAGGAGGGACGCCTCCGACATCCTCGACATCCTCAAAGCCGAGCAGGCCCTTCTCGATCTCCGGCTTAGCATCGCGGTCAGTCACTAAACCCTAAATTGAACTCGATTATGATTTCAAGATTACATTCTGCAAAGCGATAGCAACTCCAAGGAAAAAAAAGAAAATCATTGATTCTATAGGCAACAATTACTCTTTTATCTCTGAAATCATTTACTGGTGATTAATTAACAATTTTTCTTCCTTGTCACAATAGCTCTTTACATCTAGTGATCATTTGGGTCCTATTTGAGAATGTGATGTCGTTCCATCAGCTTAAAGCTGCCATTACAGGCCTCTTAGAGGCCAGGAGAGTCAACGAGTGGATTGTCACTGAAAAATTAGGAGATTCTCACAGAACAAAGCCCGCCGCTAAACATGTTGTGGACATCGAAAGGTTGGAAGATGCCCAATTACTTCTAAAAACTTTTAGAATGTAATAATCTATAAACTGTTGTTTCATTGTTGTTTGTGCAGAGAGAATACTTCAAGCAAGGAAAAATCGAACAGTTTCGGATTTTTTGGAGGAAGGTTCGGTCCAGGTATTCGATTTTAAGTGTTTTTGTTAATTTATTTGCCATTTCATAATAGAAATGAATTATCTTATGAAGAATTTGTTTGCTTACTATCCTTGATTCCACGGATTCTTTCTTTTGCGTGAGGAATTGGGGTTTTCTTTTTACTAATTCGATCTGTTGGAATTTTGAATTGCAATATCTTTGAAGAGTTATATGAATGAATTGAGCTTCTTCCTTTCTTCAGTAATCATTTGATGGATTTGTGGTATGGAATTATGAATTGCAATGATTTTGCGGTCATTAGATGTTTGTGAACTGTGAAGTTGTTTTGGTCGAGAGCTGATGCATAATTTTAGAATTAACTATTAGATCATGATTTAGTTACTTATTCTAACTTTTCTTCGGACCATATGCTTTACTACTATTAGCTCAAATTCTCAGTGTAGTACCTATTTGTCCTTCAACTACGCCATTGGATGTTCTAGTTTTGCCCTTGTGTAGATTCAATTTGAACACTGTAATCTGAAAGTTTGTGTTCAAGTACTCTCTCATGGTCATAAGATAATTTATACTGTAGGATTTGCTTCGAAACAACAAGGCATGTCATTAGATGTTATAAAGAGTGCATATGCTACCACAGAAGAAGGCTTTATCTCTATTGTAAAAAAGCAATGGAGCATCATGCCACAGATTGCATCAGTTTGCTCATGCTGTTTGGTCGGTATAATATGTGGCGGGATGCTTTACATTGCAAATGCAGGAGATTCATGTGCAGTGTTAGGGAGATGGATGAGAGGTGAACGAGCAATTTCAGCAACGGAGCATAATGCAAGCATTGAGTCTGTGAGGTGTTAAAGCCAGAACGGTTGTTAAAACCACAAGTCACTCAACTCGTGTAACTGGAGCATGATTTTTTTTGGTCCCCTGCTTCCATCCACTTAAATGTTTAGCGTCGGTAAGAAAGACTGAACACATTGGAGTTGTTTCATTGCAGGTCCACCCAGTACTCATGGTGATCGGCTTCATACTTTTAAATGGTGAAGGTAAACATGTTCTCCTTTTCTTTTTCTCATACCATAACACATAATGAAGAATATATATAACAACTGGAAGTGCCACTATGTTAGAGCAGTAAAAGCCTATTGTGATTGAGAAAGAGTTGTGGGATTCAAATTCTCCTTATGCCCAAAGGATTCAGAGAAAGGGGGGAAAAAGAAAACATACAGCTCTCTCTTATCTCTTACTTTAGCTTTATAAATTCCTCAGGAGTCTCGAGTAAATTTATATTCTATTCTTTTGGTTGTCTGCAATTGGGTGATGCAGACTTGAATAGTGACTTGCAAGGGCATTACGGCCACCTTTTATAATGTTATCAAATTCATTGCTTGGAACAATTCTTTAATAAAGAGAGTGCTTGAATTTGGCATGCATATGGTGGCCTTGTTTTAGTCATGTAGATCCTGTTGTCAATCTTCACTGATATGTATTAAATTGACAAGGATGCACCAAAAATGTTCATGATGTTTGACGAGCATGAAGTTCATGGTGGTGGAGAGGTATATATGACGTGACATATATGTATTTATTATGACATTTTTGGTATATATATATCTTATGTGGAGTGATAATCTTTCAGGTTAGAGAAGGTACTCCCGTAGGGAGCAGCAGTACGATACGACGTTCTAAGGCAAACGACGCTGATAACAGGGATGCTGACAACGACGATGATGAGGAATGAGTGATACTTGATCTTATATGTAGTTTTCAATTGTGTGAAGACATATTATGACTTGAATTTTACCTATATGTAATATATTTGTGATTTTATTGCGTAGTGAATGAATATTATTTGAGCATGCGAGATGTATTGTGATTGTGATTATATGATGAGTATTGTTCGATATTGTGGATTGACGGATGAAATTGGATGAGTATTCATTGGGAATGTGAATGTATATCATGGTTGATTTTATGATATATTATTAAATATTATCATTGAATTGATGTTGATACAGGCTATATGTGTATTCTCGTATGGGAGGTTATCGGAAAATTATTTTTTTTTCGTAAATATATACATTGGTGACGGATTTCCCCGTCACCAATGCACATTGGCGACGGGATATCCGTCGCCAATGTTTTAAACATTGGCGACAGATCTACCCGTCGCCAATGTGTATTGGCGAAGACGGGAAGTCGCTCGTATGTTTAAAAGCATTGCATATGGATATCCGTCGCAATGTTTTAAATATTAGCGACGGACTTCCGCCGTCGCCAATGGTTTATTTGGCGACGGGACCACCCTGTCGCCAATAGTCGTCCAGTGCGCCAAAATAAGTATTGGCGACGGGGAAACCCGTCGTCAATACTTATTGGCGACGGATTTATTGACGACGGATCCATTTCCGTCACCAATATGTATTGGTGACGGATTTTGGGGCATTGGTGACGGATTTCCCCGTCGCCAATGCCCTGTTTTCTACTAGTGATTATGTCTTGTTGTTAGTATTGGATATTTCACGATGATAAAAGTTTGTATCTTGATGATTCTAGTGAATGATACTTTAGTTCTCTCATCATATTATTATTAGAACCTTTTGACATATTTGTGTTGTCTACTGTGAAGATTATTATCAGTTTGAAAGTATAAATAGATTTACTTCTACGATAGTATCCAAAAGATGGAAAGTCATCATTAAAGTATTTTGGTACATCTATGAAGGGAATACACTGTCACTAGTGGGTTATTAGTTGCCCGCCATGGAGACTTTTGTATGGTACATATCTGTCATTAGTTAGTTTTTAATGATAGGCTTGTCAACTGTTGTTAAACAACAATGATAGGAATGTCAAATCATTGTTACACAACTACAATAGGAATGATGAACCGTCATTACACAACAACAATGGGTAAATGGCCGCGTCGTTACTAGTAACAATGGTGATATCTACCATCGCAACTAAGAACAATGGCAATAATGTATCCCATTATTATTGACTCTATCATCATGGGAACTAAAAAACCTTCATGACATTTTAGAAAAGAAGGCTTTTACAACAGGCCATGAAGGGATTTTCCCCTATTGTTAGCATACAATAACGACGGTTTTTAGATCTTTAACGAAGGGATTTCCCTTTGTTAGAGGCTTGATTTCTCGTAGTGAGAGTTGTATATTATAAAAGATATGTAGAGAGAACTAAGGAGAGGAATCAAGGGTTTTGAGATATCTTTTGATG